TGCATGCAGTGTTCTTGCACATTGCGTGGCTTACGCCGTCACATGCGATGACATCTTCGGTAAAGGGCGTGCCGTACGTAGCAGTGAATGCGGGGCTCTCCCTCCTTTGAGGCGAGCCCGATGAACCCTCTGACCCACTCACTTTCCTACTCCCCGTATAATCCGTACATCATGTTATCAGACCCATCGTTCAGACAGCTGGCAAAGGACGGTAGGACGCTTCTTGACCCGCTCGCTGGCGCACTGACACAACTACCTAACTACCCAACTACCCGACGATCCAACCACCGGCCCAACGACCTACCGATTGCAGAGGTTGGCGACCGGTATCTCGCCCACCGTCGACGGCGAAGGCAGCTGCCAGCCCCTGCACCACATGCCAACCGTCTGTGTCGTGCCGCATTTAGCGCACTTGTTTCGGAACGTGGCTTGGCTAGCTTGGAAAACTGGAACCGACCCACGGGTCGTTTGGTCCTGACGCGGCAGTGAGGCAGAAGAGCCGTCGGGGGGAGGGCTTTCTTGCTGTGGAGCGGACGAAGCTGCTTGTGGCAGTGGCGGCCCTGATAGCATGTGATGCAGCCCCTGCCAGCGCTGGTGTGGTGCCTGAGGCGCATGGGGCGGCGGTTGCTGCGGAGGCATATATTGCGGCGGAGGCGGAGGCGGAGGCGGAGGCGGAGGCATAAGAGGCGGCACCGGATTGATGTGACCACTGGCCATGGCTGCAAGGGTTGCGGCAGCCTCGGTGTCGAGAGGGGTTAGGAATTTTGAAGACGACGTCACTGCGGTGGCGGCGGTTGTTACCGTCGCGGGCGGAGGTGGCCAAGGTGCCCCAAATCGCCCATCGCCGGTGCGGACCTGGGAATCCGTCTGGCGGGGAGCAATTACTTGACGTTCATGTTGCTGTTGCCTGTCATGCTGCTGCCACGACTGCTGCAGTTGCGACTGTTGCGGCGGCAGCTGGTCTTTGCCTTGCGAAGCCCCCGACTGTGACCGCGCCATCGACATAAGCAACGGATGTAGCGCTTGGCCGCCGCTGCAGAAGAAGCTATGGTGATGGGGAAAAATTGGGGCCTGCAGGAAGTGCTGGCCGCCCTGTTCGCCTGTTTGTGATGGCGTCACAAGGGGCATAGAAGCAGCAGCAGGAGCTTGCACAGGCGGCACGTGAGTAGACTCCAGCAGGGCCGAAATTGATGGCTGCGCTGCTGGCGTCGTGGCCGTCGCCGCCGCCGCCCTCGTCACTGTCCCCAGCATCGGCGCGATCGTCGGGATAGTCATCGCTGCCGCCACCGTCGCTATTGCTAACGCCGCCGCCGCCGCTGCCGCTGCCGGAGACGGTGTAGCCGCCGCAGCAGCAGCCGTCCCTGGCCCTGCCGTCCTGTTCGCCGTAGCCGTTTGCTGCTCCTCTCCGATTTCTTCCAGAATAAGCCAAGCTTTACTGGAGCTGTACACATTCCCGGCGGTATCCAGTGCCGCGTCGCCGCCGACGGGAATTGTGGCAGTGGCGGCGGTTTCATGTGCTCTTTCCTCAGTCCCGTTAAGAACCTGATCTCGGTGGGTATTGAACCAGGTGCTATTGCCGACATTGTCGCTGCCGGAGCTTCCAGAGCTACCACCCAAAGGTCTGGCATCTCCGTCTTCGTTGCCGCCGGAAGGGGCGTAATCGCCAGGGCCGCCGCTGGAGGGCCCGCCGCCGCCGCTACCGGTGTCGTGCGTGTCTTCCTCTTGTTCGCTGCCGGCGTGGACGAAGCCGTGGTAAGATAGTGGCAGTAACCTCCGGCCCATGTCGAGCATTTCGAGTCCACTACGTTGCGGAGGCTGTGGTAAGCGTCCATGGTGAGGCTCGGCAGCGGCAACCTCCCTCCACTTCCTCAGTGCTGCCGCCGCCGCCGCCGTTGCCGCTCCTGCTGATGTTGCAGGTGTTGCATTCCGCCATGCATACAATGTGGAACCTAGCGACGTTCTGAATTCTACGCCTCCCGGCTGCGGCTGCGGCAACGGCGGCAGCGGCTGTGGCAGCGGAAACGGCAGCTGCGGTGGCAGCGGCGGCTGCGGCGGCGGTATTGGCATCGGTATTGTATGCTGCTCCACTTGTGGAACATGTGGCAGCGGCAGCGGCAGCGGCAGCGGCGACAGCAGCTGTGATGGTAGCTGGGAAATGGGGTCGGGGTTTTCGTTCGGAGGCGTAGGATTGGGGGATAGTGTTGTGACCGGACCCAAAGTAATTCGGTTGCTATTCTTGTTGCTCTTGCTGTTGTTGTTATTATTATTGTTGTTGCTAGTGGTGGTGACGGTGATGGGTGTGTCCATGGCCGCCTCCAACGGCGGGCCGCCGGTGGGCTGTTTTGGTCGCTTGGATGAGGCCGTCAGGTTGTCGGCGCAGTGAGTCGGTCTCTCGGTGGGCTCCTTCCGCTTTTGCTTCATGTATTTTGGGGTTTGCGCCCCTTCCGGTGGCCAGCTCGAGTCAGATTGTAGCCTCGGCTTGTCGGATCGTTCAAACCTTATCGCTTCGCGCGTTTTTCTCTCCTCTGCTCGCGTCGCCACGACACGCTACACGCTAGGCCTCAAGTCTCCTGACTAAACCTTAGATCGCAACCAGGAGCTTCGCGCTACGGATAGCACCACAAAAAGATATCGTGAATTAATGTTGCAACCGGAATCTTGATTTCCTTGATTTGTTGATGGCTGTCCTCTTCCTCTGTCAGGAACCTTGCGCGCGAAGCAGCGAAGCAGCGAAGCAGACACCGGAGGACGCCTGATGGGAGGAAGAGGGCGGCGCGTGAAAAGGAAACATCGCGCATACCAGACAGAGCGTAGCAAGAAATGATTGCCTTAATAAGTGGGTAAGTAATGCTGTGCGTAATTGTGCGGGATGGGCGTGATTTCAACTCGTAGCCGGGCATGTCGATCGGGCCGATGTGCCGCGTCCTCTTGCGTCGGCGAAGCCGGGCTGAAAGAGCAAACTACAGATAGCAGCCGAGCCTAAGCAGTGGCGGCGCCAGAAGCAGCAACCGCAACAAAAATATCATATAACAAGTAAAATAAAGACGGTAACAATAACGAAGAGGATGAGAACAACAGCAAGTACACCGCCACCGTCCGAAAACCAACAGCAACTAGAGCAGCCGCAGCAGCAAATAGTAGCAAACGCAGCAATTAGCAGCAAAGAGCAGCAAATACCATCAAACAGCAGCAAGCAGCAGCAACATCATAAGATTAATAGCAGAAGCAACAAAACCTGCTGCTATCCTGTAGCAGTAGTAGGAAGGAACCAACTTACTGAGATTAGCCGTTCGCGATGCCGATTACCAGATAACACGCAGAGGAGCTGTACATGTGTAACCCAGCCTTGATGTTTGTGGACACCAATATGTTTGGCCTGAATGTACGGGAAGGGTTTTGCTTGGAGCGTCAGCTCCACAGAGTGTAGATGGGAATGATATTGTGATGGACATGCATTTTGGTCGAGAATATATATACTACCAGTTTCTTATCGGATGCTGCAGGTGATGATCCACGGGCCTCCCGTCGGAAAGACCAAGGAGATTGAAATTTGTTGATGCTTACTATGACTGTCTATGCTTCATGCTTGCGCTTCTTGCAAGCTTCTATTAATAGCTGGTCAAATAAAATAAAAATAACACATATTTGATGAGGCTTAGTGTGTTTTCTGCAAGCCTAGTGAATTTGCTCCAAGTCTTCCCTGTTGTATTTTTCGCGCCATCCGAGATAGGACGCCGGCGTAGCCACGCGCACTCACTGGACCCATCCAACGATGTAGGCCCTTGAATTTATCATATTCATAATCATAATATGAATTTTAAGCGACTTGCTCTGTCAACACGAAGTAGCATGAGGCAGCATGAGATGCAAGCGCACGACGCCGTCATGGATAGGTTCCTACTTGCTTATTAAGGACTGGCTTCCTAAGTGTCAGTTAAATGTATTGATAGATCTTAAACTATTTGAAACGTTCATGGAGAACTGGGCACATGCCGAGCAAGGAAACATCACCATTTGAGGAAAACATTTAGGTGTTCATGGGCGGCTCCAGCTGAGCGTAAGTGTGGCATTGCCAGCGTTGGAAAGTATTCTTGAGAGACGCTCTCTCCTTGTGTAACGATATGAGCGAGTGGTGTGTTCACTTAAGGACTCTTATCTCCAACCGCCGGAAAGCGTGGCATTGAGTTGTACTTGTCTTAGACCCAAAATTTGCGCGTAGAGCAAGCAATTTGCTCTCGCCCGGTTGCGACGCCCGGCCGCCGGCCGCCGGGCGGTAACCTGTTGCACGCACTTGGATGCGGTTGTATGTTCCTAGGTGTGATACCATACGATAGCCGCGTTTGGTGTTATTCAGAAAACTATATTATGGATTGTCAGGATGAATTCATGATCCCAAGTTGTACCGAAGCAGCTTCCTTGTTGAGCATAGCTTCCGCTCATCAATCGCAAGGCAAGACTTGCTAGTCCTGGATGCTTGCATAAACGCCATCACAGTCTTGGCATATCTTGTTATGCATATTTCTATGGTTTTGGATCCTTGGCGGTCATTGGCTAACAGAACTAATTGCTTCCGCTTTTTGCAACAATTGGATGTCTATTGTTCTGCTTCTAACTTGGCGTCTGGCCTGACAAAATCAACTTTATATCTATATCCATTGCATTTCTCGGATTGGAGGTTGCCATTGTTGGGCTCCCGTTGGAGTTGCGAATGAACACAAGATCATGTCCTTGTTGGCCGCAGAGGCAAGCACTGCAACTTGTAGCGGGCGTGTAAACGCACGTATATAGAAAGTCAGAGAAAGTGAGGCGCGCACGGTCGTCCTATGTGTGCTTGTGTGGAAAGCAGCTTGGCAAGCGTGGATGTAAACACTTGCCAGCTGTTCGCAGACAGTCACAGACCTCAAGTGCCATGGCAATTCACAGATAAATCCAGCTTTATGAATGATTTTGTCCGTTGGTTCTGCGGCGACGAAGGACCTAGTCCAAACGGCGTTGCCATCGATTCAGCAGAGGCCACGGTCAGTCTTCCGCGTGTGCTCCTGAAAAGTATTATAAGCAATGCAATTACCTTGGCTAATAGCAGAGCGTGCTTGGTGCGCTCTATGGGCGTTGTAGGAGCTACCTGATATCGTTGCTCTGAGATAAGGCCATTATGGCGCCCGGTTCGTTGCACAAGCAACCGCCGAAGGATGGAGCCGCATAAATTGAATTGAATAATAATCATGTGTATATTTCATTGCTTACAACGATTGCTATCGGCAGCAAAAACGGCCATCAGGCCCTAAACACAAAGTGTCCAAAACACAGAGCCATCCAAGCTACCTGGGCTGATAAATCCGTTATTACTGTAGTTTTGAGAATCCCTTATCACCATATTATATGGACGCTCACATACGCCTGCTCGATCCTACCTAGCTACGAAGATATGGGCCTAAGCTTCCTAGAGCTTTTACTGATTATTGAAATCTGTCAGAATATGAGTTTAAGGTAGAATATCGTTTTACTGGCTTGGACTCTGGCTTACTTTTACACTCCTGTCCGCCGACAGCACGCTTTGTGAACCGCTGCGGACGCAGCATGGCTTTACCATGGCAATCCATTCATTTAAGCTTTCTTCTTATAAAACTGTGTCTGATGTACCTCCTGAACTTCTGCACTCTCGCCAAATTGCCGGTGGTTGTCAACATAATCTTTTGCACGCTGGTCGTGATGACTTGCGAGTTAATAAGGTTGAGTAATGGTAAATGGAACCATTATTGCCTACGTGAATTTTTCATATATGTGCCAGCTTTCTAATCGCGTGAGTTGAAGCCCGTTACCTGCTCTTCACTCTTTGGGTCCTTGCTGCGCCCCCTGCAGTGCGTGCGCCACATAGCAACCCGTTTCAAGGCAACCCGCTACCTCGCGCACCGCAACGCTGCCACCATGCACTGCACTGCCATATACACGCACGATTACCGCCTGGCATGGTTAGTACATGCTACTATTCACAAGGTCCGCGTGAGGGCGGGAGGAATCAATGCATCCCCACCATGTCCTGCCAGACACAACAATTTGCTTCACACCAATGCCCATCCCATCATACGCACTTCATCTAATTTACAGTCTAGGCAACGTACTTAGGTCGGATGAATGAGTGCATGGATGGCGTTGCGCGCGCGGTGAGACCGAATCGCCGATAGTGGTGCTGCCTACACCCAAGCACTGCTGTAGGTGTGTGTGCGTGTGCGTGTGCGTGTGCGTGTGCGTGTGCGTGTGCGTGTGCGTGTGCGTGTGCGTGTGCGTGTGCGTGTGCGTGTGCGTGTGCGTGTGCGTGTGCGTGTGCGTGTGCGTGTGCGTGTGCGTGTGCGTGTGCGTGTGCGTGTGCGTGTGCGTGTGCGTGTGCGTGTGCGTGTGCGTGTGCGTGTGCGTGTGCGTGTGCGTGTGCGTGTGCGTGTGCGTGTGCGTGTGCGTGTGCGTGTGCGTGTGCGTGTGCGTGTGCGTGTGCGTGTGCGTGTGCGTGTGCGTGTGCGTGTGCGTGTGCGTGTGCGTGTGCGTGTGCGTGTGCGTGTGCGTGTGCGTGTGCGTGTGCGTGTGCGTGTGCGTGTGTGCGTGGGTGCGTGGGTGTGTGCGTGGGTGCGTGTGCGTGTGCGTGTGCGTGGGTGTGTGCACACATACGTTCCAACATCCTCGCCAGACGTACTGGTTCCCATTTCATGGCCTCCAACATGCTCTGTTGATGATCAAATCCCTCTTCAGCACGAATATCATTATAGGCTGGGCATTCCAATAACACGTGTTTTTCATCCTCGATTCGGCTATTAGTACCACAACAGCGGCAAAACCGCTGCCCCCTGGGGACATGGTACTTGCCTCTTCGTGCTCTGTTTGCCTCCAGAGCCCATCAACATAAACGAAACTGCATTAGCTTACGATGTGCTAAACGAGGAATGAAAACCTTTGCATGTGTTGGCCACATGACGGCTGCGGCTCCCGAAAAGGGCAGCCCCATCCAGTGCTTATACTTCGCCATTTGCACTCCCGGTTGCTTCCCATCTGATGGGTACTCCTCTGGCAAGACAGTCAGACGCGACAGTCAGAGTTTCGTTTATGTTGCTGGGCTTTGGAGGCGAACAGAGCACGAAGGGGCAAGTACCATGTTCCCAGGGGGCAGCGGTTTTGCCACTGTTGTGGTCCTAATAGCCGAATTGAGGATGAAAAACACGTGTTATTGGAATGCCCAGCCTATAATGATATTCGTGCTGAAGAGGGATTCGATCATCAACAGAGTATGTTGGAGGCCATGCAATGGGAACCCGCACGCCTGGCGAGGATGTTGGAACGTATGTGGGCTCACCGAAACTCAATTACCCCCTTTGGACGCTAGTCTGGGCTGATGTGCGGTTTTTTTTTCCTTTTCTCCGTGGCTTTTAGGCGTTGTAGTATTGCCCTTGGGCCTTCGGCTCGTATGGGTAGTCTTACAGGTATGGGGTCACGCACCCCCAACCATGTAACACACACACACAGTCAGACGCGTATGGTCCCAGCCGCTCATCAAACGCTCTCTTAGTGCCGTTATCATCTCTCCTTCGGGTAGAGGTCTACTCAACAACCAGTCAATACGCTCCTTTACCCCCACGACTTCTTGCGGTACTCCGCTCCAAATGTTGCACTCCAAGAAGGAAAACAGTCGTAACATTGAGGTTCCCCAACCCTCCCATTCCGGGTTGGTCAGGGCATCGGTTACCTCCTGCCGTAAAACTGCATGAGCAATGGACCCCACTTGCTTTTGAAGGCGGTTCCAGAAACGGAGGATCTGTTTCAACATGTAATATTGTAAGGTAAGGGCAGTGGTGCTGCCTACACCCAAGCACCGCTGCAGGTGTAGGTCAGGCGAGGCCAGGAGAGGTGCTAGGCAAGGCAAGCCCCGGACCACGCCCCGAACACCACAGAGCAACCGCAGGGGCGCGCGCTCCCTGCCCCGCAGCTCTAAGGAAGGACCCGAAGGACAGCTCTCGAAAGAGGGGGAATCCGGGATACACGATTTATTGGGAAAAAGAGGGGTTGGGAGTTTACTAATCAGGGGCGCACGGTTCTCCACGCACCCACCCAGATCGGTGTATATGTTTATTTTGCCCATTTCCTGCATTCCTCTTTGTTAACCCCCATTTTTCAAAACCAGGCTTTCGAGGCCCCCGACCAAACCGGCTTCTCAACGGATTCACTGCAAATTGCCGGGCCCAGCTCGGTATGTGCAGCAGCGCCACACAGCGGTTCATTAGTACATCGCATGCACGACTTGCCCTGCTGCTTTGCATCGAATCGTTCCTAAGTTGAAAGGAAGTCATTGTTGCGGCTGTGAGGGCTCCCGCAGGAGACATCAACACTAAAGCACTGTGGCTCATGCTCTCAGTGTCGCCTACTGCCTGGACCCATCAAACACCGATACCCATGTGCATGTGCATGTGCATGTGTTAGTAATTACACAACGAGGTATTCGTGTAAACGGCCTTCGTATATGTTGTTACAGGGTGGTTAAGCTTCACCAGCGGCCCCTTTCCCGAGGCAGTTCCCTGCTCTCCCCTGCGAGAGGGGCACCCTAATCCGTTCACCGCATCCGACTTCAGAGTGTACTCTTTGAGTTCGGCAACTCACCACCAGCATCCAACCAAATCTAGCGGATCAACGGCGCGTCAACTTAGTTCCTGGTCAGCTTCGTATATGCATGTACCGCCAAAACAAGCCAACAGTCACGGGGCTCACATCAACCTTCATCTGCAGCCATATACGCCTGGCTGTGTGTATAGCTGGATAGCTGCCCGCAGGTTAGATGGAGGGAAGTCCCCCTCTCCGCAAGTCGGTGAAGCCAACAGTGGTGGACGCGCTCCGGCCCCCCTGGCCCCCGTGGGCTCCCGCCTGGGCCGCTGCCGACCCCCCACCTTCCGATAGTGCAATGCAGGTCGGGAACCCAACCAGGTCGGGAACCCAACACAGTGGTAGGGGGTAGGTAAGAATTGCAGCTAGATATTGCCGCCTAGGTAAGAAGTCGCCTCGAGAGCAAAAAGACCCTCCAGGCAGCCTCGGGAAGGAAAGGGCGAGGCGACGAATTGCAGTCAGACAGAATTCTTCAAAGGAGGCTTTCTGCTTGGTGATGTGTGTGTGCGTGCCGTTGACTTGTGCAGAGGTTTTCCCTCTCGCTGCTTCTTCCCACACAAGCACACGAACACGGACAACTTGCAATAAGACGACGACCTCTTATGATTAAGTAAACTATCTTATTGTGGCATGTTTTTACTGTCGTTTAGTTGTGCACTGCTGCTACTTCTGCCACGCCTCCAGTTCCAGAAAAAAAGGTTCTCTCGATCCAAATTTGGTGGATTCAGATCCAGATCCCGAGCCAGATCCAGACCTTAAAACGCAAATGTATTTTTTCCCCGCCACCCCAACCCCACCAGGGTTCCGTCAGCCCTCAAGGGCAGGCAGAAGGTGACGGACCGTACGACAGACGTACGGCAGTCCCGTCGGCCCTTCAGCCAGCGGTCGAGCGCCCGCCAGCCGGCTCTTCAGGCGAGTGCTGCTGCCGCTTGGGGGCCATTATGAGTGTGCAGGCAGTAGCAGCTGCAGCCGCCTCTCGGGCTCCAAATCAAATGCCAGCTCATCCAGCAGCTGCCTCTCGGGGACCATTTCACCCATCTCATCCAGCATCCAAAGCATCAGCTGACCTGGCGGCGGAGCCCCCTGCCTGCCGTACTTGCCATGCTTCCCATCGCCGTACTTGCCGCTATCGCCGTCACTCGCCGCTGCTGCCTGTGCAGACGTCCACCTCCACCATTCCCGTCGCCTCCGCCTGCTCACCCCTACCACAGCTCCGCTGGACGTCTTCCGCCCACCGCCACCGCCACCGCCACCGCCACCGCCACCGCCACCGCCACCGCCACCGCCACCGCCACCGCCACCGCCACCGCCACCGCCGCCGCCATGTTGGATACTGGAGGACAATGCTCTCGCAGTGAGGGCAGCCGCGACGGCGGCAGCGGCTGCGCCGCCCAATATGGGGCCTATCGTGTAGAGCAAAGTACGGTGGCGGCCGCTGCCGTTGCCCCGGGCCCTCCTGCTCCATGCCAGACATCGGCTGAGCAACCCATAACCGCCATCACATCCCCCATGGACTCCATGGCCTGTAGCAGCAGCAGCAGTAGCAGAGGCGGTACCAGCAGCAGCTGTAGCAGAAGGAGCACCAGTAGCAGCTGCGGCGCCAGGTGCTGTGTCGCCCACGGCCCAGATGCTGCGGTCAAAGTTACAATCGCGGCGGAAATCGCGGTCATCAGCGACTTGAGGGGAAGTGCCGTCGTCTACCTCCCCGCTTCCACCCGGCGGCTCCGCCTTCACGTCCAGCTCCTGCTCTGACTCTCCGGGCGGAAGGGACATGACGTGACCTGCTAAGTAGCGCGGGTGCGGGCCTGACAGACGGGATGAAGTTTAGATGAAGTTTGGTCGGTCAAGTCCCACTCTGCAGATTGCCTGACGCGGCAGACAAAATTTTAATCGAGCTGGCTTCTGGAAAAACTTTTAAGGCCTACGCTGTCATGCTAGCGGCCATTCCTGGAAGGGAGGGAAATTTTCGGAGGTCTGCCTGCACCGTTTCCCTTTCCTGCTGCTCAAACGGTTTTGAAAGACACCGGTTAAGGTGACACGAAGCTTATGAAAAACTATTTGGCCATCAAGACTAAGACTAAGACTAACATAATTATGTTAGTCTATCCTTTATAAAGGACTTTTGGCGTGGTGTGGCAAAATCATTAACACGCCAAGAATGAAGGCAGGATGGTAAAATGTTATTTCATGCGCCTCGCTGCGCAGGTTCACTAAGCTCTAGCACGTGGCCGGTTGATCAGAGGCAGTTTGCGATTGTTACAGTGGACACGAGGAACGCCTCCCGCACGACCTATGGGGCTTTAATCAAATGGGACAGATCCTAGAGGCTATAATGATTCGCCAGTCCGCTCAGGACGTGCGTACGGTTGGCTGATACCAGCCTGTGACAGAGACCGCCAAGAACCACGGGTCAAGAAAGATGCACGTCGCAGACATATCTGCTTCTCCTGCTCTACTTCTTCCCCAAAAGAATAAAGCAAATCATCCAATCGTTGGGAGCTCATTATGGCATAACATACTCCTCCGGACGCAGCAAGCATGCTAAGACGCGGCATACATTTATGTGAAAGTTTCAGTAGCAGTCACTGGGACCTTACACCCTTCTGCCATCTCCTTCACTTATCAGGTTGCGTTTGGCATTTGCATTTTATTCCCGTTGATCGTTTTGATCAGTTTTCTTTTTGCTTTGGCCATGGCCCGTTTGTCACAGAACCCTTCATCTCGGCCCAGTCGGCCAGGGTCGATAATAAGTTATTAGGCTGTGCCAGTGCCTTAGAACAAAGCCCCCCAAACGACTAGGGTAATTAGCTTCTTCGAAGCCGAAAAGGCTCGGCCCCGGTGCAGCCAGCAGTCGCCCCGCAGTATTCCGCAGGAGAGGCTGTAGGATACTGGGCTAGAAACGGAAGAACGGTGTCGTGTTTGGACTTCGTGAACTTGGTGCAAGGTTTAATTGTACGGCGTATGTTAAATCATCAAGATGTATACATGAGCAGTCTTGTTAGGAGTTGGGCAGCCTTGCTGGAGCAGTTGGCATGGATGGGCTGGAGTTGCGGAGTGTGGCGAAGCTGATGAGCGGCGTATGTCATATTATTGCTGATGGTTGGTTGTGGTTGGTACGGGACTCGCGATGGCGCGTTGAGGATGGCTTTTGAGGCCGGGGGCACCTGGGAAGCCAAAGCCATGGGCCGAGGGACGCTATCCTCGCGCACAGTGCATGAACTCCTTCGGTGCATCGATAGAGAATTGTGATACCTTTAAAATGCACTACTCAGTTCAGCGTGGCATGCCAGGTCAGCGTGAGATGCAAGGCGCTGACTGACAGACTGACAGACTGACTGACAGCAGTGCACCCCGGGGGCCTCGGGCCCGACGTGCCCGGGGCCTCGCCCAAGAAACCCATCTGGGTCTTCACCAAATCCTGGCCCTCCTAATTGAATGTCATTGCCTATTTTGGCAGATCGAGGTGTGCAAGCGCCTCAATGCCGTGGGCTGATGCTGCCGATGCTGCCGATGGCGACAGTGGTAGCAGCAGCTCCACTTATAGGTGTTGAAGCCGTGGCAGCAGCAGTATCAGGGGCTATAGCTGCGGAGGAGGTGAAGTTGCTACTGATGGCAGTAGCAGCCGCGGCCCTCTCCGCCGCAGCGGGCATCTCCAACAATAGCCATTGCTGCTGCTGCTGATCAAGCTTCTGCGGCTCTTGCTGCTGTAGTGGTGGCTGCGGCTGCGGCTGTTGTGGTGGCTGTTGCAGCATCGGTTGTAGCACCCGTTGCGATAGGGACCTGGATAGCAGTTGTGGTAGCGATTGCGGTTTTGGTTGCGGTTGCGGCTGCTGCGGGGTTGCTTGGGACGGCGGCTGTGGTGGCGGCGCTGAACCAGCCGCGATGGGCAACCGGGGCGGCGACGGTGACGCCAACGGTGGCGCCAGCGGCGAGGCCAGTGGTGGCGGCGACGCTGGCAGCGGCGGGGATGGCAGCGGTGGCGCCAGCGGAGGGATCCCTGGAGCTTCTCCGGGGCCCTCAGCAGCTGCAGCGTTGGGAACGTCCGACAGCAAAGCATCCAGCCTGCATACCGTTGTTGGATTGGTTGACTGTTTAGGCGGTTATTTGTGGCCATCTAGTCAGTCAGTTAGGGCCCCCTAGGCTGTGAAGCAGAGAGATCCACACGCGGGTGTCGTACATTTCTGTATGAGCGGACCTGGAAAACAGCAGGCGGTTAGGTGTGCCCGGCAGCATCCGCTCGTCCCGTACGAATCCCGTCGAAGCGCCCGCCAGCAGTGCCGCCGCCACCTCTTCAGGCCGCGCCTGCGGTTGGGCCTGCAGAGTGCATACGACCGTTAACCGTGCGCACAAAAAGGTCATGAGTCGTACAATGTCTGTTACGTTTTGCATTTACGGGTGTTACGTTTGGGGCCATGCGTTGCAGAGCGCTTTGACCTTCGTACGTGTTAGTACTACAATCAGTGACTTGAACTCGGCTTACAGCTCGGCAGTGCCATTTCCGAAACCGAATCCATGTAACGATGTTTTCCTTTAGGAATACAACATAACGTGGTAACCCTATATCTTTCTCGTACGGCATTGCCGTACCTCAAGGTACAGCGCCGCTACACCAGCTACCAGCGGAGCTGCCATAGATGTTCCAGAGGCCCACGTGTACGACGTCGGAGTTATGGCGGAGCATCGGTCTGTCGTACAAATCACAGTCGTACATGCCGTTGTTGTGGCGGCGGCCGAGCGAGGTTTGGTTTGGTTTGGTTTTTGCAGGTCGTCACGGCAAACCAGAGGTACGGTCGTGTGTCCATGCCATGCCTCTATTTAGCTGCCTGGCATGGACTCATGTCCCTCCCTGCATTTCCTACCCTACCTCTACCTCTACCTCTACCTCTACCTCTACCTCTACCTCTACCTCTACCTCTACCTCTACCTCTACCTCTACCTCTACCTCTACCTCTACCTCTACCTCTACCTCTACCTCTACCTCTACCTCTACCTCTACCTCTACCTCTACCTCTACCTCTACCTCTACCTCTACCGCTTCTATCCCTCCTCATCTACTTTCTCCTCCTCCTTTTCAAACCCCGACCGGACATTTCATAACAACCCCCGGCTCCGGCCCAAGGGCAGCGCAGCCATCCCCCTGGCCCCAGCCCACGCCACCCCCAAGAACTCACCGCCTCCGCCACAAGCCCCGAATATCTCCACCCCAGGCGCGAACAAATCCACACAGGCGCCCGTGTTGGCCCACTGGTACATGGACTCCTGACCCTCCCGGGGCCCCGGTCCGAACTTGTTCTCCAAATTGGAGGCGGCGACTGTGAGAACCTGGGTTTTAGGGTTTTATACGGGTTTTAGGTTTTTAAACGGGTTTTAGGGTTTTAAACGGGTTTTAGGAGTTCAGGGTTTGGGGGTTTGGTGTGAAGGAGGGTGGGGAAGGAGGGGGCAAAGGGGAGGAGGCAGGGTATGAGACTGCGGGGAAACGGGGTGGAGAGGAGGTGGGTGTCGCGGTGGGCCCGCGATACACCGTGGGATCTTGGCACGCAGTGTAATCTTGTACTAAGATCTGATGTTCGCTGAGGATAGGTGGTGGATTCCTGACTTGACTTCACACCACCTGCAGCTATTTTTTAGGCTATACTGCTACTGCCGTGGCAGATCTGTGTGAGGGGACATGATTACGTGTCCAGAAGCTGCTACTGCCGGTGGCCGCTACTCCTCTTGCGTGCAGTCGTCACCTGCTCGCCCATGTAGTAAGCGGCGGCTGGCTGGCTGGCTGGCTCAGCACGAGCTGCATCGCTCACAGCAGTGGTCTCCTCTCAATCGAATCGCAATGAGGTTAGGAAAAGAGCGGAGGGGCTCAGGAAACGCGGCGGGTGCTGTGCATTACGCACATGCTTTTGGAATTTCTGTAACAAGACACCACCAATGACCCCCACAGTCCTCCAGACCTCCACCCAACCTTTAGTTATCGCCAACCGACAACCGCAAACTGCCAACTGCCAACCCCCAACCCCAACCTCGGGCACGTTCGCGGGCACCACGCGGCAGCTGTCCATGGCAGAATTGCCGGACGCCACCACCACGACAATGCCGTGCTTCCGTACGAGTGATCGTACACCCTCCGACAATACTTCGGACCAGGATCCTTGTAGGGGGGAACCAGGGGGGAAGGGAAGGAGGGAGGGCCCCGACCCGAACGAGGGTCGCAGAAGGCGGGGAAATACCCCATGTCACGGCAAGATGCTGTACAACCACCAAACCCGGGTGTATCAGCGAGGTTGGATGAAATGGCAGTGGTTGAATGTGGGCGAATAAAGACTACGGTTGCATGGGAATTCGTGGGTGGCAGTTCGGGACGTTGATTTGGACTTGCGCAAATTGAGCAATGTTTAAATAAAACAAATTCTCAAAATCGGATATGACACAGCCTTCGGAGAGGAAGAGCCGGCGGATGCGGCAAGTGGTGGTTGATGTGGTGGCGGCGGTGGCGGCGGAGCTGGTTGGCGTCTAGGTGCCTGCTTTGCATCGTATCACCTGTGTTAATAATGAACAAATCAGACTAATAAAGTTACTTTGCCAATCATTCTGAAGTCATGCCTTCCCGTCATCTGGATGCCAACCCTAAAACCCTAAAACCACTCCCCTAAAAACAGTAAAACCTTAAAAGCAAACCCAAAACACAGTCCCCACCCTTCCCCCTCAGCCTCGGTGCCGTACCTGCCGGCACCCCCAGGGACATCATGACGATCGCCGGGAGCTTTGCATTGCGCGCCACCCAATCCAGGCCTGCAGGAACCAGGGGAAGATTGTCGTACTGTACGGCGGCAATGGTATTATCATCCCTTCCCTTCCCCTCTTCCTGCCTCTACCCACCAGCGACGGTATCTGCGATGGTCCCACTGCCATTGCAGTCCAACACTCGAACCGATACCAGCCTTGATCCCCGCGCCACCCCCACACTGCGGCCCACCGCGGTTGAGGCAACGTGGGTGCCATGACCATCGCAGTCAGCCGCCATGTCATCGCCGTCCACAAAGTCGTACCTACGTATGGGTATGCAGTACAGTATGAACGTCGTACATTCTCGTACACCTAGGATAGATGGCATGATTTCGGAATGCATGTACATGTTTATGTACGGCAATAATGCCCGGCAGAACACACGTGTGTGTGCGGAGGCGCCCCCGCCAACACAGTGTGGAGCTCCGTTAGCATACCGCCGTACGGTTTGGATAATAAAGCTTTTTTGCCGGGCATCGCTCGTCTGTTTTGATTCTCAAAAATGGATAGGTCAGAAATCTGAAAGAAAACATCATCGAACCGAAATAAAAGAGGAACGTATGTCGTACAATGGGACGAGCGGGTACACACTAGCCAACACGAATGGTACGATACAAAACCATAACCTGCCACCTGCCATAACTCCACGCAACTGCTGGAACTGCCGCACATACACATGTCCTCACCCGTACATCGCCCGGCTGCCTTTCCGGCTGCCACGGCGCTTCCACCCCCTGCCGTCTTCCTCCCCCTCCTCTTCCCCATCCTCCTCTTCCTCCTCCTTATCCAGCCCGGTGTCAGGCCAGGGCCGGAACTCGTTGTGGTCGACGTATATGCCGCTATCGACGCTGTAGATTGTGACGCCTTGGCCTGCATGCCGTACAGCGTATGGTGCGCCGGCCCGGTATAAAAGTGTTACCGTACAGAATTGTACCGCACGGACATGCCATGCCATACATGCCATACCATACCATACCACACCACACCACACCATACACATAAGGCCCTCCGCAGATCAGCCCCATGGCGCTAATCGCCGCTATACGAGGTAGACCGCCACCCGCAATCCCAACTCAGCGGCAAGACGAATGTGGCGCGATAAAGATACACACAGATCGTTGACCCTGAAGGAGCCCAGGCCTAGGCTGCATCCCTCTCCATGCCCAATATACTCCACCTGCACGATCTACTCAGCTTTAATTCATTAACTAATCAATTAGTCAACTAATTCTTATTTATCATTTATTTATTATTCATTCACCTGAGCTGAACCCGGTGCACCCGCATGCAGCACCAAGCTACCATAGCAATGCAACGCAATCAAAACCGAATCCGACGCATAGCTAACAGCTCGCGCAGCTAGCTAGCCGGCCAGCTATGACCAGGGAGTCAGCCCTTTCTCACCCGTTCCCCGCAGACCCGCCGAGCCGAAGCGGTATACGCCATCCAGGGGTAGCCTCCGCTGGTCGATTCGATCCAGATTCCACAGCGCTCGATCCACTGGATCCAGCTTGATTCCGGGAACCCGCAACAGCGGTCCCGACGCGCTGGCGTGTTCTCGCACATCCACGGCGGCCGCATCTGATGGGGGAGTGGGGCGCGATGAATTGCTTGGAAAGCAAGCCGCGTGAATCAATCGGCGGGGAGGGTCCAGGGATGTAATGAAGCCTCAGCCCAACACAATTAGGGAAACACCATCTCTGGCATCATCGACAACTAGAGGGATGAGTGACAGAGTGAGTGAGTGATCCCAAGGTCAAGGGGACCCGGAAACGGATGTCCCCCAGTTCGTGGAGTCACGGGGGGGCCGGGAGGGGGGAGGGGCAGGTGCGTTAGGCCGGGGTTAGGCCGCAAGTCAGGGCGCTAGCACGCGCGGGTGTGTGTTGGGGTGTTCTGCGCCAACGCGGGAGATGGCAACTAGCTGCCGGCATAGCTGTACCGACGGACAGACTCTTATAAAGGGGAACGGCGGTAGGAGGGGATGCTTCACAGCACCGTGAAAGGGTGCGGCAGAGTAGAGTTATACATACATACATACATACATACATACATACATACGGGGGCGGAGTGCATGAGACTAACCAGCCGTATGCACCCGCCCCCCGCGCTGTGCTTCGGCCCTGGGCCCCCGGCTTTTCAGCCCACAGTGTAATCAACGTCATACATACATACATACATACATACATACATACATACATACATACATACATACATACATACATACATACATACATACATACATACATACATACATACATACATACATACATACATACATACATACATACATACATACATACATACATACATACATACATACATACATACATACATACATACATACATACATACATACATATGTATGGATGAGACCAAGCTTGACTAAGCTGCTACTATGACCGTCGGCCAACCGCGGCCGTGGCCACCGACAGCGACCTCAATTGTTTGAGCGTAGTTATGGTTATCTAATTAGCCTGAAAATGTCGCAGAGGCGACCAGCAGTGGCTGTTAGCCGCGGCAATGTTCAAAATGGCCGCCAGCCGACCTCAGCCGCGAGACCGCAATCCATACCGACCAAAAAGATAAAGGCCGTCAGTGGCTTTTACGGAACAAATGAAGGCTTGGCTTTCTACAGAGCCACACTAG